TAACTGTTTAAGTATACAATATGTTTGTAGGGGATGCAGGGTTACAATGTCTTGCGTAGAAAACTTTCCTTCCGCTCAAATAATATATATTTGAAGTTACAATACGTACCCTGACCACGAAAGGGTGATTGGTGCTCCACCAAACAGGTGCGGTTCGGTCTCAAACACGTTCCCTATGGACCCCACGTCCTGGAAGACGACGAAACCGCGATGTTTGGCGTCGGCCGCTTTAAGCACACGAGCTTCCTTGACAACGCCAAATTGAGAGAAATAGTCATGTAGATCAAGGTCATTTGTCAAGGTTGGCAAAGATCCAACATCGATTCTGAGTGTCTTTGCATCCTTCTTCGCTTTCTTTTTAGATCTAAGTAGGATAAAGCAAAAAATTAAATGCCGATAATTGGATGATTCCCAAGACAGTATGTGCGAAAATTAAAAATAATCTGCTTGCACTAGCGATTCATGTGTCAAGACGATGCAGGTTATCACACATACACTGTCCATTTCTTTTGCTTGTAGGTCCACGGAACTCAGATATCGACCAGAAGAAGTCAAAGTCTTTCGGCAATAAAGACACTTTTTAAACCGAAACAAACGACCAAACAAATGCGTTGCAGACCTATTTTTGCAGTGTTTGCATTAAAATATTTGAATTTCTAATGCTATCGAAAATTAATGACATATTTCACCATTTTTACAGAGTATACTTTATACAGGCGGTCAACAAGGAGGCTGTTCAAAAGCAGATATCTGAACGTGACCGAAATGTCTGGAGATGATACCACACAATAATAAATATGGCAATCCTTCGCAAATAACTTGTTCAAATAGAAATAAAAACAGCATCTACAGGATATAACGTGAACAAAAGAGTGCAGCGTTTGCCTGGTAAATACAATATGCGTGTTTGCTACGCAGATAATCTCATCAATAACTAACTCCCTGCTATTTCTGCACCTTTCATCCATGCACCCGGCCTCACCAGACCTTAGCTAAGGAGGCAGCCACGTTTATTTACAACAAAACCGTTAACATTTAAAGTTTATATTTGAGATAGTTACGCGGAAATCACCAAAGCCGGTACTTTTAAATACATATGCA